GGTACTTGAAGTCCTTCAGAAGCTCTTCAATTCCGTCCTCCATGGTGGCATTACTCCGGAGGCGTGGAGCAGAAGTGCGGTGGTCTTGTTCTTTAAGAAAGGCGACAACGCTCTCTTGAAGAACTACAGACCGATTTCCCTTCTGAGCCGCGTCTACGTGCTGTTTTCGAGAATCATTACGAATCGTCTCGCACGCAGACTCGACGACTTCCAGCCTCCCGAACAAGCCGGTTTCCGAAAAGGCTTCAGTACCATAGACCACATACATACCCTTCGGCAAATTGTACAGAAGTCCGAAGAGTACAATCTGCCACTTTGCCTGGCGTATGTGGACTACGAGAAAGCCTTTGATTCCGTCGAAATTTGGGCGGTGCTACAGTCTCTTCAGCGGTGCCTAGTTGACTGTCGGTATATTGAAGTGCTGAAGTGTTTGTATAGTAGGACTACGATGGCTATCCGAGTACAGAACCAGAGTACGAAACCTATCCAACTGCAGAGAGGTGTAAGACCGGGTGATGTTATATCCCCGAAACTCTTCACCGCTGCGTTGGAAGACGTTTTCAAGCTACTGGACTGGAAAGGATACGGTATTAACATCAATGGCGAGTACATCACTCACCTTCGATTTGCCGACGATATAGTCCTTATGGCAGAATCGCTGGAGGACCTTAGCACTATGCTCAATGACCTCAATGGTGTCTCCCAACGGATAGGTTTTAAGATGAACATGGACAAAACAAAGATCATGTTGAATGTCCACGTCACACCTATGCCGGTCATTGTTGGGAGCACTATGCTCGAAGTTGTTGACGAGTACGTTTACCTGGGACAAATAGTCCGACTAGGTAAGTCCAACTTCGACCGAGAGGTCAATCGACGGATTCAACTCGGCTGGGCAGCGTTCGGGAAATTACGACGCATCTTCTCATCAGGTATACCTCAAACTCTGAAAACTAAAGTGTACAACCAGTGCGTGTTGCCAGTGATGACTTACGGATCTGAGACGTGGTCCTTCACCGCTGGCCGTATGAGGACGCTCAAGGTCGCTCAGCGAGCTATGGAGAGGGCTACGCTCGGAGTTTCACTGCGTGATAGACTCAGAAATGAGGATATCCGCAGTGAAACCAGAGTGACCGACATAGCCCAATGGATTAGTAAGCTGAAGTGGCAATGGGCCGGCCATATAGCTCGAAGAACCGATAACCAATGGGGAAGAAAGGTTCTCGAGTGGCAGCCTCGTACCGGTAGGCGTAGTGTAGGGCGACCCCCCACTAGATGGAGTGACGACCTGGTAAGACATGCAGGAAGTCGATGGATGCAGGTGGCTCAGGACCGTGCTTTGTGGCATTACTTGGGGGAGGCCTATGTTCAGCAGTGGACTTGTGAAGGGCTGTAATGAATGATGATGAATTTATATTTATTGTGTGGGGAATTATGTTAAAACAATGCCTGGGTAAGTACCCTTCTTATTTGTAATCTCATTTTGTGTTTTATCTTATTAAGTACGTGTAAAATCGTTTTTTTAATATGTATGAAGCAAACTGCTATCTTATAACTAACATGCTGGTTGAGGAAAGTTGACTTGAAATGTACGTACGTAAAATTTTAGTTTTGACTGTCAGTTTTATGTTAAAATATGTGTAATTGTTCATCTTTCACAGTTTTAGTACATTAAAATGAGGATAAAGTGCAATATTTTCAAAATTTTAATGTAAATACGCAAAGATGCAATAGTGTCAATTTTTGAGACGTCCGCAGTAGTGAATTCTAGTTCTCTGTTTTGCGAGTGGCGAAAAAAAGGAACTAAAGTTTGCCATACTGCATCAAGTTCAAATTCAGTTGAATGGTTATAATGGTAAAGAATCTAGCGCCCTCGAGCAGGGAAATGGAGCTTGGTTGACTCCATGATTATTCGATGATTTATGAAAAATTGAATGCGGCATTTGGATATGTCATGTATGTTAACACAAGACTTCGGAAATTTTTCAAACAATTTATTCAATCAGAAAATTAGAAAGTATTTACATAATATGCTTTTTAATATTTTTATTTTAATCTTTTTAATATTATTTAATACTTGAAATTTTTATTTTTTTTAATTTAATATGAACAGGTTGTGATTTTTAAGGTCACCTCAGACACATATTTCTTATATTGTTTTTTTTTTTAGTGTACATTTTATCTGTATGTACTTTGCAAATCGTGTAACGTTGCATTATGTTTCAACCCAGAGCAAGATTGCTGCTACCTACAGTACCATTCGTAAATGAATTGTACTGTAGATACAGCAAATCCAACAAGTACCAGGAGCCTTTTAAAGAAATGAGTACCTATGTTATATATTTATTCAATTTTATACTTATGTCCATCCATCCATTTAGTTTTTACTGTTGCCTTTTGTTCAGCTAATTATTTCAGACTATCATCGTCGAAATTGTTAAGTTGGTTAAGTTACACAGCCTATTTCCGTCCCACTGCTGGGCCTTCCCTCACTTCTGAAAAGGTTTTAGGGCGAAGAAGTGTCCGCCGCGCTGCCCATATGAGTGTTCGCGAACTGCACATGCCTTGGAAATATTTTTTTTTATTTCTCAGACAGTCAGACTTCCTCACGATATTTCCTTCACCGCCGAGCAAGAGGTAAATCAGCACTTAAAATTGCAATTAATAATTTCATTGATGCCGGCGGGGATCGAACCCGGTGTGCTAGCGTACTGTGAAATTTAACGCGAGAGCTAACAATCTGAGCTACCAGGGCTCTCTCATCGTTGAAATTAATACTTAAGTTAGTTAAGTTACAGTCTTTTTACGCCCCACAGCTGGGGAAAGTCATCCCCTTATTTCTCAGAGTGTTTTAGGGCAAAGAAGTTTCCGTCGCGCTACCCCAATGCGTGTTGGCGAACTTCACATGTCTTCGAAATATTTTTTTTCTTATTTCACAGACGTGCAGGTTTTCTCACAATGTCTTTTTTCACCGCCGAATACGTGGTAGATCAGCACTTAACATTGCAATTAACAATTTCATTATTGCTAGCGGGGATCGAACCCGGCTTGCTAGCGTACTGTGAAATTTACAGCGAGAGCTAACCATCTGAGCTACCACGGCTCTTCTGAGCCACCACGGCTCTCATCTTTGAAATGAATACACCTATAGGATAGGGTGACAAAAGAGCACGCAGTCCACCTGTGGTGGTTGCTGTGGCCCATAGATATCTACATCTATCCTCGATTACAAATCAAAATGCAGATGCGTGTCACCCGTGAGGACTAAGATGGAACGCCTCTTTCCAGTAAAAAGGCTCTCCGGTTCTCTACACTCACCATACGAAACACAGAAGCATTAAGCTATTATTTCACGCTGGTATTCGGTGAGAGCGTGGTTCTTCCCCCGGTCGAGCCGGCCTATTCGTGCTACAACTATACTACTAATATAACTGCAGCATGGCTCTACCGCGTATAAAAAATGTTTTAATGGACTAGTACATGATGCACAAAAAAGTGCAGAATCGGACTTTAATTGTGGCATATTTTTGTATAATGCATAAGAAGTGGGTTCTTTAAAAATATACATAAATTATATTATTTTTTTATTTCAGGAAGAGATATATTTATTTTAAATTTTATTATTCCGTAGCTATTATTTGTGTTAGTGAAAATATATTACCTTTTGGAGAAATAATGTTGTTGGTTATTGGAAATGTAACATAACCGCTGAGCACCTCGCGGCGCCTCTGTCACTCAACCCTTGAGTGGTTTTATGGTTTTTAAAGGAATGAATGAATCTTTATTTCTGTACAAGTGCTGTTAAAGTTTGTTTGCTCAAATAAAGTAATTAATTTTTCAATAAACTTACGACTAAAATTTCGATATCGGCATTAAAAGTACTTATAAATACTTTATGAGATTTCTAAAATTTAGCAAGACCTATTGAAAGATAACTGAATCATGTAAAGAAAAAGAGAGGTTCAATTCAAGACTGAATCATTATAATGAAATAAAAAAAACAATTTTTATTGACTAAAGCATTATGCCGCATCTGGTCCGAACTACATTCTACATCGGTGTAAGTTGATTGTGGGTTCTTGTAAGCTTATTATTAATGCGTTTTATGATAAAAAATTCTATTGTAGCCTATGATTTTGCACATAAAATATTGTAAACAATAGATGTAAGATTAAAATAAAATAAAATTGAACTATTAATAAACTTTGTGTCATTGAGAAATATGATAGTTTTGACTTTATTCAATATTTAGTTATACTAATTACTTTAAAACTTTATTAAATATATGTACTCGTTTATAGGAAATTTCATAGAGAATTCAGAAATGTATACATATTATAGTATTCAATATACCAAAATCAAGATATTTGCGTTTAAACTGATTGGGCCCAATCAGCCGTCCATTTTATTAAACAGCTCCGCAGTCAACAGTGTATTACGGTTAGTCTCCGCAGCTGAAAGGATATATTACACTGATTTTTTTTTACTTTTTACAATGATTTCAAACGATAGCTTACAAAGAAATGTCATTTATAAAATCGCGGCTTTTGTTCTAACTTTGTCCACCTGAACAAGTAAGTTGGTGGCACTGTACGCAATTTATGACATGACTAGAAGTCGTAAAAGTAGTGATTATATTCTCTTTGGATAAGACCACAGAGAACTTTACTATTTACTATACTCTTTGAACTTTACTTTATGAGAAATAATCTATGTATGACGAATGACGAATATGGCCGTCTCTTACGAATGGGGCTATTTGCGCTTATTTTTTCTGAATACTTGCAAAATATTATAGTTTTTCTGTCTGAGAATGCATTGTCTTACAATATAGGATGTAAGTCAATGTGTGTATTAAAATCTTTCACGTGAGTATTTTAAATCAAGAGATATATTCACCGACATCCTTGATCAATCTTACCATTTATAAAGTTGAAAAGTAGCTACTATTTTTTACCATCCTGTAATTACTGTCTGTTTCTTTTATAGGTATTCTGAAGATGCCAGTTAATTCTATTTCGGAAACGAAAAAAGGTGTTGAAAAGTCTAAATTCCCACTATCCTTAAACAGAAATAATGCAACACTCTTGAGCAGCGAAAATAGAAGACCACATAATTTAAAAGATATTTCTAGCTCTTTTAAAGCATCCGAGGAGAATAAAGAAAATAAACCAGTGAAACGACCATTAAACGGCACTTATTTTAATACTTTGAATGCTGCGAAGAAACTGAAACCATTGACAGAAACACCGAAACCTACCGGTATGTAATAGTGGACTTCGCCAGTTATTTTGATTTGTTTTCGTTTTTAGATATTTTCTTAAATTTAACTTACAGTTAGTTTGTATTTATAATAAGTTTTTATTCTTCTAAAAAAGGCATACGAAGTTTGTTTATACACATATGTAATTATGAATTAATCTAGTTATTGTAAATGATCTCTACCTACTAGTAGGCAGAAAATTATAACATAAAGTGTAGGCTTACTAAGCATTTCCCTTAACCACCTATAGCTACACAGAATACCAGCGTAAAATAGCAACTTTATGCTACTGTGTTTCATGGTGAGTGTAGAGAACCAGAGACCCTTTTTACTGTAAACGAGGCATTCCATCTTTGTCCTTAGGGGTGACAGTGCATCTGCATTTAGATTCTTAATTGAGGATAAATGTAGATGTCTATTGGCCACAGCACCCATTTACCATCAGATAGTATATGTGCTCATTTGTCACTCTAATTCTATAAAAAAAAAATTAGTTTATGCTTTCACTAAGAGTTAATTCACAAAAACAGCTGTTGTCAAATGACAATTTTGATATAAAATTTTCCAGTTCATATTATAATTGATTAGTCTACCATCATTTTATTGTATATTGACATCTAATATTTCCTTTCTTTCGGATTTCTGATCTTCAATCTTTTATTTTATATAACTGTTAATGTCATGTTAATTTTGGGAGAGTTGTTGGCAAAGCCTCTCTCACAAATAGTGAATACTCACTGTGAGTGTATTAGCTGTGAATAATACTTGCAGTAACAATTCCCTGCTAACCTGTCACGCAGAGAGTTCAACAGATGATTTGGGCTAAAAATACTAAATATCTATTATCTACATATTTTTTTGATATCACAATTTCACAATTTTTTTTATAGATGTAAATAATGATCACACACACCATGTGATGATGGTAAGTGGATTCTATGACCTACAAACACTACCATCAATCTTCAATTAAGAATCGAAATACAGATGCATTGTTACCACCTTAAGACTATATTGTAATGCCCTATTGCCAGTAAAAAAGGTCTCTGGCTTTGGTCATCGCCAAAACACAGTAATAATATGCTGCTTTTTTTTTTTTGGCTATGTTCATTCACTGGTACGTAGATACTTCAATAATTTACACGCTCAGCTTTGGAAAAATTTTGTAGATTGTAGACAAGCTAGGTAGGCCCTACCTGAAATAAACAGTCATCTAACCAAGGTATTAATGAGACTGAACAAGCCACAGATCAGGATAGTAACAAGTGCTATCACAGGACATGGCTTTTTTGTTCACCATAGGTGTTACTGATAGCCCCCTGTGCAGGGCATGCATGGGAGAGGAAGAAACGGCGGCTCACATGTTGCTGACATGTCCTGAAGTCGCTTCATACAGGGCTAAACATCTTGGCACGCTGGGATCACTCCCCGAAGTTGCTTGCAACATCAAGGGACTGCTGAGCTTCTTCGGGGAGATATCATGGCTCAAATAACCATATTATTTCTGCCCACACACAAAATCCGCGCTTAGACGTGGAGTTGTGGAAAACAGCCCGTCTTAAACTAAACTAAACCTAATATGCTGCTTTGTCAGGCTGTTATTATGTATGAGCATAGTTCTTCTTTGGTCTGAACAAAACCACTGCGGCAAAATACTCAGCAGGATGGTGCCTATTACAAATATATTCAAATTCTTCTTCACCAAATACTAGAATTAAATTATTGTATTATTTTTATGTTATATTGTAGATTCTGAGCTGATAGTATTAGAGCAGTCGCCAGCCAGCTCTGCCATGTTGAATGGCCACCATCCAACGGATATTCAGTATGGAGGAGGAACACAATGGAAGGCCCCAATTGCTACGTTATCAAACCTGGGAAACACATGTTTTTTAAACAGTGTTTTATATACATTGAGGTAACTTTACATATCTGGTTGATTTGATATGCATATGTTATAATTTATTAACCAAATATATGATATATATTTGTAACTATGACCATTATTTTACCAATGGTAATAATCAATATACTAATATAATAAAGCGAAAAAGTTTTTTTGTTTGTTTAAACAAGCTAACCTCTGCAACTACCAGTATGGTTTGAAACATTCTTTTTGCATTTGATGGTGAGATTCATGAGGAAATAGTATGGGCTATCTAGCATTAGGCAACACCTTTCACCTAGCCTTAAATATTGATTTTGGTTAAGCTCTTCCATACTGGCTTTATCTATGCTACCTAAATACAATTTACTACAAAAATATTGATCAATCCTCCTATCTAAAAAAAAGTCTGCGATATCATATGCCTATTTCTTAAACATTAAGCCACAATATATGGGTTATGTAATATTTTAATCTAATATTTTATGACTAGAAATTATTGAAAATTAAGTAATTATTATTGGCATGGAGTATTAATGCTTATGATTCGAAAGATCATTGATTGTCAAGACAATTTTATGAAGCATAAGCTTTGCTCTTTATAGCTTGTTATTTTAGACGCATAGTTTAAAAGATAATTAAAATAATTCTGCGCTCGGCTCGGCGCGCGAATATGTAACTAGCAGTGAATGCCTAGGGAGATGTCATTTTGCGCGAATCAGACGCGTGATATATGCTGGTTAAACCGCAGGACACAGAAGTGTAGTTCATAAAAAAGACATCTATACTAAGATTATAATGATTATCAACAGTTTTCATTTTATAAAATATTTTATTTAAAAATATTTAATGTATAAAGTTACTGTTATCATCTGCTCATAACAATATGGAGAATTAATATATCCACTACAATTGGCAGGGAATTTCTGGATCACAATTACAACAAATATATTGTCACAGAACACTGAATAGTGCCAAAATAATTGTTCATTTATAACTTAATATTTCATATAATTATTTAAAATGTCTGTAATTTCTTGTCATCTTACAATACAATACAATACTTGTTATTGTTATTGTTAATTGTTATATTTATGTTTTATTGGTGTACAATAAACACCAATAAAACATAAATATAACAAATAATGAACAAACAATGAGGAAAAAACAAAAGGCGGTCTTATGCTACATAGCAATCTCTTCCAGACAAACCAGAAGAGGAAATTAATAAAAATGAAAATAAGATTAACGGTTAGGGTGCACTAAATTAGACAAAAAAATACAACTTATTTACTATAAATCACTATATACTTAAGGTATATCATCTTAGTGTAAGTCACATAAATTTTATGAACATAACTTTATATTTTAGGTATGCGCGACGGTTTCTCCATAATCTCCACCATCTTGTATCAGACCTGGCCAGTGTGGAACAGAAACTAGGCAGTATAAGGTTAAAGAGCTCCTCCCTGGGTCGAAGTGCAGCTGGACTGGCTTCTTCTGGAGCTAGGTCATGGAGCAGTAAGGACTTACTTTCACTTGGACAGTCGGATAATAGTTCTGGAAAAAGTAAAATTCAGGTAACACTTGAAACAACCCGTCAATACTCTTAAAATTCCCATGCAGTCGCATGCATCCGTCAAATCCCGAGCGATCTGATTTTATTTTTATTCTCCTGTCAATTTACGACATTTGTTAACTGTATGTTTGTAACCGTAACGAAAATTGCAATTTTACGGTAGATTAAAAATAAAAATTCATTGAGTTTCAAGAGACTTTTGTTTAGACTATAGAATAGAGAATTTCATATAGATTCTATAATGCCAAACTTCTTTAAAGATAGAAAGTCTGTAAGTCTAAGTTTTAATGGTTTAATAAAGTGCTGTGGATGGGTGCGGTTGCATGCAACCGCTCGGGATTTGACGGACGCATGCCATAAAAACTTATATTTATAGACTACTTTTCTGTAAAGAAGTTTGACATTATAGACTCTATACATAATTCTCTATTCTATAGTATAAACAAAAGTCAGTTATTCAATGGATTAATCATTACAAAAATACTTTACAGTAGACCCCTGGTAATCCAACAAATATTTTCCAGGACAGTTTCGAACTATCGAATTTGTCAGATTATAGAGTACTGCCTAAGACTCCTATAGTCCAGAATTTTTTACAAAAGACTACCTTGTAATCCGACAAGTTACAGATCCAATGATAAGATTCTATATGTTATATATATGTACTCTGAAGTACAAATCATACTTCATTATGTACGTCAAATTTAGTAAATTAAACAACACAATAGAGAAATTACGTTTTATTATAAAATTAACATCATTAAAGCTATAGAACTTACAAAAAATATGCTATATCTTTACATTAGGAAATAATTGTGTACAAACAAATGTACATACTAAAACATTGAAGTAATATGTACTTACGTACTAGAACAGCTATCTCAAACAAAAAATGTGCGCTACTCTGTGTTCGCGCGGTTGTTTTTTTTATCATAGAATAAACATAGGTAGAATGACCCGTAGGTAATAGTAGATTGTATTGTTAAGTAGGTAAATTATATCGAGAACAATATTTAAATTTTGTGTTTTCAACATTAGTCAACATTATTTACCTAATTTCGATGAGGCAACGCCGTAGGCTTACTGTCAAATGTCAGTTTTGACATATTTTTTTCATTTGTAGTCATGACCGTAAACAATTGTAAATTCCATAATTTAGAGCACAAATTTCGGGCAGTGTATATGTGAATTCTACGTGAGAAGTACAAAGATATCGTTTACTAGGTTCCTGATTCGAAATTTATAGTCAATTACCAGAGTATGTCAAGTTTTATTAAGTAAATCGCGCATGATTTATGACCGGTATTCATTGTTGAGTTTTGAATTTTCGAGTGTGTTTGTTCCAGTTCGTTACGTGCGTTATGGTGTTTGTTATGACACACACTGGAATGTTATAAAGGAGACTGTTCATACAACTTAACCGACTACGGTGGAATGAAAAAGGTGTAATGTTATTCTGACGTACCTACATGAGAGTGGAGTGTTATACTATTCTGATTTATTATTACTAGTGGTCCCTAAGTAGCCGAACTAGGTCCGTTTATCCATATTATAAAAAAAATGTTTAAATTATAAGAAGCATTTTTTTAAGTTTTATTAATCGTCTAAATATAAATAAGTTATTATTAAAAACACATTTTTAATTTGGCTTTATTATATTTGTATGCTGAGTTTATTAGATATACACAAAAAGTTTTGTTTAAGTCATTACTTATTAAATTAATACTATTTTATAGTTCGCCTATTGATTACATTAAAAAAAAAACGCATTTTTAAATTTCAATTTCTTTTCAAATATGGCTCTGTGCGAACGCGAATAGTGTCAAATGGGATAGCCCTTATAATTAAAAAAAAGCAATAAAACAAAATTCTGTGATAAATGGTAATAATTATAGTATCTGTAGTACTAATTGTAAACACATATTTGTTAAATTCCTTATGTTCTTTTATGAATAAGCTACTTTGATTACTACCTACTGTTTTTTGTAAGCACATTATTTTGTTAAAGGCTTTAATTCTACTGTGTTGTGTTATTTTGGTGTTTTGTTTCGCAAACATGCAAGCTATGCATAGTCTAAGAATCGTTTTTGATTATTTAATATTAATTTCATGAAAATAAGTAGTAGATAATATTTGAAAATGGATTTTACTTGAACCTATTTCCAAGTGAACATTCGACCTTTATATTATTCCAGTACGTTATTGTGTCACCGTGTGTTATATCTTCAAGTGCGTTATTTACACTTTTTTACGACCTTACCCATTTACGTTAAAAGATAAATTATATTCACACAAAAACTTTCATAACAATTTTATAATATAAAAAACTGTTCTTAACTTAGAAAAATCCAAAAATCAACACAACAATGAACACTCTACAATGACGCACTTTGAATGTAAATTGTAAATGAATATAGACTTACTGAATTTTTATTCAACTAGATGATAGAAAATTTCATATTGATTCTATAATGCCAAACTTCTTCATAGAAAAGTAGTCTTTTTAAAAGAACAATAATTGCAGTGCTTTTGGTACTGATATGGCATCACAAAATGGAGTGTATTACCTTCCAACTAGGTAAATAGGGTAAAGCAAGTACACAAAACCTCTTCAAATTAACTAATACACGTCAGTTTATTTAATATTTATTTATTCATTAATATGAAACTTGCATTAAAAAAATGTTTCCAAAGTTCAGACTTCATGCGTTGAGGCATTCTCTCCCATTCAACCAACTTTTTTACCAACACATTTGTTAATACTTGCCTAGGATCATGTGGGTTGATAATAAAAGTTTCACTTCATACTCAGTTTGTATTATTTGTTAGTTATTATTAGGGGTGTAACGATACATAATTGTGCCAATACGATACCGATACCGATTATTGTAATAAATAATCGGCGATACCGATACCGTTACCTTTATCGGTGACTGAGTATAAATAGAAAGAAAAAACAAATAAATAATGAATAATTTTCTTTATTATGCAAAGAAGTTACCTATATTTATCAGACAGAACCTTGAGAAGGTTAACAACCAAAATGTAAAATCAAAAATTCAAAATTCAAATAAAACATGTTTTATGTTAAATAATCAATAATATAATCAAGCAATAACAGCGCTAATTAAGAACGTAATTTTCTTACACAAAGTGGTGAAGTAAAATATATATATGATATAAAAATAAAGTCAGTTATTACAGTTAACTTTTGGTAGATTTTTGTGAAGAAAACCAAGTTTGTTTTAATTCAATTGAAAACAGACACTCTGAGCCAAAACAAGAACATCGCGCTTACGTTATTCTTTTCGCAGGCTTTTCAAACTCTTGATATCGGTCGTAGATAAACGACGATACCGATATATCGGCCGATACATCCGTATCGGTATCGGAATCGTTACATCCCTAGTTATTATGTACATTGGAATACATTTATTTTCTTCAATTATTTATCTCTTGTAGTCGTGTTAGGTATATTAATCATGACGTATGTAATATTCAATTAATAATATATTCATTACTTTTCAATAATATTTATGATTTAAGACTATTGAAATTTTTACCGACTATAAGGGCGGAGTGATTTACATGTTTTAATTATGTTTTTTGTACAAAATAACTAATGAAAATGAGTAAAACTATAAATACATGCAAAAAAATTGCTATATTGTTTCGAATTAATCAAGTTTTTCATCATAAGTAAAACTTAAAGCTACAACAGTTCCATAAAGATATATGTAAATTACATGCATATTTTATCAAAGGCAATTTAAAATACATACTATTTTTATCAATTTGCCCAATGATAAATTTGATTATGGTGATGTTATTTAAATGATGACCTATATATAACATATATAATATGTCTTATTTTATATTAAAATGAATGTTTTACAAAGAAGTCCAAGTTCTTGTCATTATTTTAGTGTTTAAGAGTCAATGTAATTTTTTGATAATATTGAGTGACACAATCACTAACAGTCCAACAAGTGATGGGCTAAAGCAGGCTATGGACACCTAAATCCAACATCAAATAAAAAAGGCTACACATACTGGATGACCTTTTTTAACATCTGCATAAAAATTGGGTGTAACATGTGAACGGAGTAGAAGCCTATGGCATTGATATTTTACAAAAAATAAAAACAAAAATGTAGAATGAAATAAATAAATTATTTCAAATCTCGAGTCTAAAATCGAAGTTCAAATCATATTCACCCTACTTTACGAGCGGCAATAAAAGAATAAATTTACACATTGAATAATCGGACCAAAAATTAAAAAAAAAAAAATTATATTAAAAAACTGAAGGTAGCCGGACTAACTATGACATTGGGACGTCAAACATCTCAGTCCCCCCCCGTGACCATGGGCGCTGTAAAGCACCCGAAACGTCGGGATAATAATAAAAATAAATTAAAGTAATTAAACGCGATAAAATCCGTAAATAATAGTTTTATTCAATGTGTAGTGTTCGCGTAAATTTAAGAAATCATTAGAATAAATTTAGTAGGTATTTTTGACCTTGTCACTTCTCAGGATCATGGCATGGGTGACAATAAATTTAGTAGGCTTCTACTCTGTTCACATGTTACACTCTTTTTTTTCCAGATGGTAAAAAGGTCATCCGGTATATATTTGCACTGAAAAATTCTGTAAATATACTGGTTCTCTTAAGACTTAAACACAGCAGTGCATGTACTCCTACTTGTTGACAGAAATAGGTAAAATAAGCAACGGAGTGGTACATACCCAGACAGACTGCGCCTAGTAAAGTATTTTAATAATTAATATCAACCTGAAAGAAAATTAATGCCTGATAATAGGCCTATCCTATGCTTTTCAACTAAAATTTGTTTGAAAATGTCACATTTGGTTGAGCTCCTGTCAATATAGGAGAGAGGTACGAAAAGAGCTACACTAGCATTCTTTCCTTCATCACAAAGCTTGTGGTACAGCAGCACATGAAATTCCCATCAACAATTTTACTGGTGCCATAGCTAGTAATTGGATTACTTATAAAATTTTACCAATTCACAACAAATGGAACAATATTCTCATATAAAACACTGTCCAGGGGTGTTTTAGTGTCCGTATTGGATTATATAAAGTTATTAAATTCAAATCAAATCATTTATTTGCAATCCAAGTGTACATAATTGGTCTTAAATTAAAAATGTGCTTACAACTTAGACGCCTTTTTCAGGCACTGCAAATTTTACGAGGACACTGCTTATGTACATAAAATATACTACATAAATTTAAAATACATAATATTATTTTTTATCTAAATACTCCTCAATTGAGTAAAAGGGGTTTTAAGGGGAATTACTACACATTAACTTCTATTAGATATGAAAAAAATCCAGTTCTATAAATTATTGATGAATGATTATATTTATACCTAAAAAAGATTAACTCCATCTGCTCATATATTCATTATGGCAATATTGACACATGCATTGTCTTAAAATAGAATAAGTTACTTCCACTACAAATTTAAGCATAATTTTTTACAAATCCACAACTTGAAGAAATAGAAAATCAAGCCAGATAATAATTTGACTTTTTTAATACCTATGTAAAATATCCAATAACTAACATATAACTTTATATATTCTAACAGTTGTTTATGTGTAATAGAACCTTAAGTGGAAACCCTAGTATAGAAAATCACGTTTGATTCTCAGATAGCTACAGAGAAACTGCATGAGACCTACCTGAACCTGCGAGCAGCTGAAAGCAAGTGTTTAAACAGTGGCTCGGGTGATGCTAGTCCTGAGCCTTACGCCGCTGATGCCTTTCTCGCTGCGCTTAGGGATGTTAACTCTACATTTGAGGGTAAGAATTTACTATAGAAAGTTCTACCAATACTATGCTCACATACAGCATGTTATTCAAACCGAATTTCATTATGCAGCAGATATATGAGACTAATAAAAACTAAAAGCCTACTTTAAATAACTGAAAGTAATAAAGTAATTTTGACATAATAGCTTCAGAAGTTGGTGGTTAAGACAGTATATAGAAGTATTAACGAATCAATTTCTTTCTATCTTCATATTATACAAAATAGAGAACAATATATAGTGATGCAAATGGAAATAATTACACAAATTTCCAACTCACAAGTTGTCAACTTTAAAAAGTCATGAGTTCAAATACACCATTACACATAGGTATGTGATTGCTCGAAAAAGTGCTCTCATTGGTGAAAAATTCGTTTTGTTATGGACTGCCAGTATACTGCCCCAGTACCATAGGGAAGTATAAGACGTCATAAATCACAGCCATTTTTGTACTGTGAGCATTTTTGTACGCTTTTAAGGCAAGGTTTTTTTTATAGGATAGGATGACTAACGAGTACACAACCCACCTGATGGTAAGTGGTGCTCTTAGTACTTTATCACATGTTATTATTATTAATTAGTATTGTTATTCAAAGAAACTCTGACATTATTAAGTTTTAAAAGCAACAATATTAAAATAATAACTTTTCTTGTTCAACAGAAAATGTGTACATGGTAAATTTTTCTCATTTGAAAACAGTGTTGACAAATGGGGATGACAGTATACTGGACTGCATTCCATTTTAACAGTAACCGGTATAGCAAACTTAAAAGAACCGCTTCACAGTATATTGGATTCATGTCACACCTTACAATGGTCACAGTGTATGTTGGAACAAACCCAACATTATTGTGTATTCATAAAAAATTCTATGCTGATTGGTACTTGTACTGTTAAAACTAATTCCAGTAGGAAACGTTAACATTGACATTGTATATGTATTGGCATTACGAGAAGCCACATAAAAGTGCTTGTTTACGTACAACATTAACAGTCTCGGTCAACTATGTAAAAATATAATACAGGATTAAACCAAGAATTGTGTCTGCATTTAGAATAAGAACGGTGCTGTGAGCATTTACCACATTGCAGCACGTGTTTAAATACCACATAATATTACTAATATTTTTTATTAGTTCCATAGGCTTACATAGTTTTCTTATATTATTGATTATATTAATAATGATTTCTTATATCTACATGAAAACTACAGATTGAATAAAACATATTTGCAAGGGGTTCCTGATAAAGAAAAAAATATATAATATTTTAAGCATTAGTATAATCAAATAAAACAATTTTTACGGGTTTTTCGCGTTTAAATTTACATATTTTTAATTGCCAACATGAATATGTTTATTGACACTACACATTGAATAAAACATACCTAAAATTAAAAATACCCTGCAAATATGTTTTATTCAATGTGTAGTGTCAATAAACATATTTATGTTGGCAATTAAAAATATGTAAATTTAAACACGAAAAAACCCGTAAAAATTGTTTTATTTGATTATACTAATGCTTAAAATATTATATATTTTTTTCTTTATCAGGAACCCCTTATTCCGTCTTTTTTGTGATCCCCGAAATTTCCATGTTTTTGTGGTCCTTCAATGTGTACCCACAGTAACTATGATATTGTCTGCCCAAATTTTTCTATTACTACCTATTCATCTTATGTCATTAGATCTTGTCCATCAAGTTGTGTTTCAACGGTCAAACTTTTGTCCTTATATCTTGCAAAGTGAGCTGCCCATTACCATTTTAAATTGAGCCATCACACAATATAACGATCATTTACTTAACTTTATGGATTTTAAGGGCCTTCCAATTAGGCATGTTGTGTTGACTGCTCAGTAGCACAATGCTTAAGCAATCGGCTGCAGGTTCGGACACCAACATTAGTACATACTAGAGCTTAGTACATGCTAGAGCCATGCTGCAGCTATATTAGTAGTATATTTATAGCACAAATGGATCGGCTCGACCGGGGAACGATTAGGCTCTCACAGAATAGTAGCTTGACGATGCTGTGTACAATGAGTGTAGAGAACCGGAGACCCTTCTTATTGGAAAGGAGGCATTTCATCTTAATCTTCATGGGTGACAACGCATCTGCATTTTTATTCATAATCGAGGATAGATGTAAATGTCTATCGGTTGCAGCAGCCACTTACCATTAGGTAGCCTGTCCGTTCATTTGTCACCCTCATGCTAGTAAAAAAAACCATATGACACAAGTGTTTTTCCAGTTCAATTCGTGTATGTAAAACGTCTCCAAGTGTGAGAATTGTTGGAATGATTTGTCTTATCACACCTGTCTGCTGTTCAACATGGTGCCTCTATATACCATGCTGAACAGACGGATTGGGCAAGGTGTTCTGCCCGGGAAGCGGCCAACGCTCCGAATGGTAGTTTATTTTTTTTGCGCCCAGCAGCAAACTAAAGGGCTACCCTTAGGGAAGCGGGGGAGGGGGAGGTGGTGAATGCTCTTATCACACCAAGCAGCCGGCTTCGTGGTTATTTGGGACTGACCATGAAAACCTAAGTGCCTACCCACTAAACACCACCTGGGACTGGCTTTGGCTTTTCCCCTGGGGAAAAGGGGGCGCAGAATGGTAGTTAGGAACTGTTCTATATATACTGTTTTACTCCGGAACTTTGAGCGCGATTTAGACTACGATGTCATTCGCTTGTGGTGCGACGACAGCGCCGCCATACGTGTAATTTGAGTTCGGCTTATTTAGTGATTTTTTCGGTCTTCAGAGGCTCGTTTTACTAGCTGGCATGCACCTGATGCATCTGTTACCATCTTATTTTTTTATTGCAGGTAACCGACAGCAAGACGCGCACGAACTTCTAGTATGTATATTAGACAATATCAGAGAAACCTGTCGAGCGCTCAGTTCTCGTGCTTCACGTCTACAGTTACATGAAAATGGTGATAGGTGAGAAAAGCAAAAATATCTAAAAAAGTTTAAAATTTCCTTAACTATTACATATATAGTATTTTTCTCTCTCTCTAAGAAAAAAGAAATATTAAATTTTGATATTTTAACATAAAAAGAAATATTAAATTTTGATATTATAGTATTTTTATCATATTAGAACATTTTTTGGTCTTGAGCATAAGTTAGTATTAGTTTCAGTTGATATATACATATTAGTCTGGTTACAGTAACCGCTTACAATCGGATTTTTTTTATATTATAATACTCTATTGTTATAAAAGATATAAAATGCTGGGTTCAACATTTTTATATCTTTTATTATCCTCTTGTTAATTTCTTCTTTAGTAAAAGTACTTCTATACTAATTTGACGGCTCCTTAGTGCAGCTGCTTTGAATCTAATTCCGGCGCTGAAAAGCGCAGGTCGAGTCTTGCACGGAACAAGTATGTGTATGACCCATAAAGAATTGTTCCGGGTGTGATAGGTAACATCTTTAAAAAAAAACAAATATAAAGAAAATGACATTATTATCGAACATTTGGACTGTACCCTTTCCTGAAGAGATGGCTTATTATGTATAAATACTTCACATGGTAAATAATCCAATAGTAGTTTTTACTCATTTATATATTTTTGTTTACAGCAATGGTCTAGGTCGCCAGCCCACCATAGATGGTGATGCTGGTAAGCCAACACTTGGCAACTTACGCAAATCCTGGAAAAAACGTAAGGAAATTAAGGCAAGTGAGAAGCGGCACTCGCCTACAGAAGAGCGAGCTCCTTCTCCTGCCGATCCAGAAAGGGAAGAGCGCTCACGCCCTGGTTGGGACTTTGTAGCTGATGACTTTGAAGGTAGATCAAAATTTTGAATCTTAATATTTTTATCATAATTTTGTTTTGAATTTCAAGTGCTAAACTAATTTTGTTACATTGCAAGAGAAGCTCATCTTTAGCAGTGGTCTGTTATGAAAAACTAAGTTTTATAAAATATTGATTATGTCTTTAATGTTAAAAATGCAGGTATAGCAAACAGAATGCTGTGCCATGTAGTGGCGGTTGAGAATATCCACTACCCCATATCTTCCCGTGGGGGTCGTAAGAGGCGACAGAGGGACACAGGCAGGGGATCGGCAGCAGCATCTACCCAATAACAACAATAATATAATAAAAAACTGCGGTTGCTAACCCACTCGCCAAGCGTGGCTACTATGGCAAATATCTCTAAAAATGAGTAACGACGCAAACACACACCCCCCTAGTCCCCGGCGGCCCCGCTATTCCTGGCTACGGTGGCCACCACGGTAACTGCGGGGCAGGGGGTGCTAAGAATCTTCGGTGAAAGTTCGGTTGCCACCTACGACGACTCGACCTGGCAACATATAACGCACGCACCCTGAGGACTGACGAGAAGATACTGGAGCTGGAAGAAGAGGTAGACACGTTGCGCTGGCATATTATTGGATTATCCGAGGTCCGAAGAGAGGGGGGAGGACACGGTAATCCTCGAGTCCGGCAACTTGTTCTATCACCGGGAGGGCGACCACCTGTCGTCCCAAGGAGGTGTCGGATTTATCGTCCACAAGTCTCTCGTCAACAACGTTGTAATGATTGGGAGTGTGTCGACGAGTGTCGCGTACCTGATACTCAGAATCACCAAACGGTATTTGCTGAAGGTCATTCAGGTTTACGCACTAACCTCGGCACATCCCGATGAGGAGGTGGAGGAAATGTATGACGATATTTCCAGAGCCAAGCATTCCTCCAAAACCCACTACACGGTGTTGATGGTAGACTTTAACGCAAAACTAGGCACAAGAGAAAGTGGTGAGCTGAAGTTAGGGAAATTTGAAGTAGGACAACAGAACCGTAGGGGCCAGCAGCTGGCCGACTTTATGGAGAAAGAGGGACTCTTTATGATGAACTCTTTCTTCCAGAAGCGGCATCACAGGAAGTGGACCTGGTCGAGCCCCGACGGGACAGTTCGACAAAAAATGAGATTGACTTCATTATGACGACCAGACGCCAACTGTTCAGTGATCTCTCAGTGATCACAAGGGTGAAAAACTGGCAGCAATCACCGAATAGTTAGAGGCACAGAGGTTTTTTACGTGGTAGAGCCATGCTGCAGTTATATTAGTAGTATAGTTGTAGCACGAATGGGTCGGCTCGACCGGGGAAAAGGACCACGCTCTCACAGAATACCAGCGTGAAATAGTAGCTTAATGCTGCTGTATTTCGTATGGTGAGTGCAGAGAACCGGAGACCCTTGTTACTGGAAATGAGGCATTCCATCTCAGTCCTCGCGGGTGACAACGCATCTGCATTTTGATTTGTAATGGAAGATAGATGTAGATGTCTATGGGCCGCAGCAACCACTTACCATCAGGTGGACTGTGTGCTCGTTTGTCACCCTATTCTATATAAAAAAAAAGGCACACTGAACCTAAACGTTAAGTTGAAGAGGTTTCGTCTAATGAAGTCAACGCTCCGTCCCCCTCGTGCTCTAAACCAGAATCCCGAAACATTTCGCTTTCAGTGCCTAGAAGATTGCAATGCAGTGGACGATATGAATGACAAGCTCGTGGAAACTGTCCATGCGGTCGGAGCTAAGTTCTGCAAAACCCGCCGCAGAAGAACACAAAATCTTCGTCTTCTTCACCTCTTAATCTCATGGCTGTTAGACAGGAGATGAGGTTGCCATCGTTAACAGATTTGACAGCATACAGGCAACTGAACAGACAGATCTCCAAATGCATGCGGCGAGACTTGCGCAACTTTAATACTGCTCGTATTGAAGAAGCGATCGAGCGAAACCAGGGCTCCAAAGTCTTTGCGCCAGAGATCTGTCTGCCAGTAAGAGCCAACTGTCAAAGCTGAAGACTGAGTGTGGCAGCATCGTTTCCGGGACACCTGAGATTCTGAGTGAGATTGAGAGGTTCTATGGGCAGCTGTACACATCATTGTTGGAGCCACACTCAAGTGTAAGTAGTGACCCAAGAGCAAGTCTTATCCGACACTATTCCGATGGTATCCCGAACGTCAGTCTGAGCGAGATTAGAATGGCTCTTCAGTACCTTAAAAAACGGCAAGTCCCCGGGAGAGGATGGAATTACAGCAGAGCTTCTGAAAGCGAGTGGAAAACCGGTACTTGAAGTCGTTCAGAGGCTCTTTAATTCTGTCCTCCATGGTGGTACGAATCGTCTAGCACGCAGACTCGACGACTTCCAGCCTCCCGAACAAGCCGGTTTCCGAAAAGGCTTTAGTACCATAGACCACATACATACCCTTCGGCAAATTGTACAGAAGTCCGAAGAGTACAATCTGCTAAGTTTGTCTGGCGTATGTGGACTATGAGAAAGCCTTTGATTTCGTCGAAATTCGGGCAGTGTTACAGTCTCTTCAGCGGTGCCAAGTTGACTGTCGGTATATCGAAGTGCTGAAGTGTTTGTACAGTAGGGCTACGATGGCTATCCGAGTACAGAACCAGAGCTCGAAACCTATCCAACTGCAGAGAGGTGTAAGACAGGGTGATGTTATATCCCCGAAACTCTTCACCACTGTGTTGGAAGACGTTTTCAAGCTACTGGACAGGAAAGGATACGGTATTAACATCAATGGCGAGTACATCACTCACCTTCGATTTACCGACGATATAGTCCTTATGGCAGAATCGCTGGAGGACTTAAGCACTATGCTCAATGACCTCAATAGTGCCTCCCGACGGATAGGTCTTAAGATGAACATGGACAAAACAAAGATCATGTTTAATGTCCATTTCACACCTATGCCGGTAGTTGTTGGGAGCACTAAGCTCGAAGTTGTTGACGAGTATGTTTACCTGGGACAAATAGTCCG